CGTTTCAGATCGTTAAAATAGGGCCCCATATGTTGTATTTTTAATCAGTTTGAATATTTTGGAAGTGAAATATGAAAGGTGAAAATGGATTATTGAAATTTTACTAATGAAAATGTGTTTGAAATGTTTTGAATTGAAATATTCACAGCCTAAATATTCAACCATGCTAAATTTTACTTCCATATACTAAGCCAAACACTCTGTCCTGTTCTGTCCAAGAGCTGTCCTGTCAGAAATGTATTTATTTTAGAAAATTAGAGAAAAATAATGACTTTTCAGAAAACACACACACAAAGACTACTACCAACTACAAAGCAAGATATAGGCCTATTGGCAGTTTATAACTCTTTTTGCAAATGTAATGCAAGAAGTAAATCTGTAAGACATTCAATAAAAAAAAATATCCGACCTTCAGCTGTCTCGGCCTGATCCAGAACTTAAACTGACAACAGCACTTGTGGAACGCTGCAAAACATTCCAAACATCCAATATCAACTGAGAAAATAGTGGAAGAGAACTGGACACAGCTCAGCCTGTAAAACTGCCATCAGCATTACTCATACATCATATATTTTCCTAGGATTTTCCACATAAAACTGAGGCCAGACTGCCTAATGCAAGAAAGTTGCCCACAGCAAGGAATGGGAGAATTCAAGCCATATGACCTGCAAAAACTTGCCCAAAGCCATTTGGGAATATCTGTCAGCAGCTTTTTAGGTCCCAAAGGCAAAAAGAGAAAAGATTTTTTTTTTCCTTAATATAAGTAATAAAATAATAACATAATGGTCTATTGATCTTGATACCACTAGACAGATTCTGCCACCTGTTCAGGTCAGACCAAACAAAAGATTCAACAAATTCTTATAAGCCCTACAAATATGTAACCATTTCCATTTTGTGCAATGGAAATGTTCCATGGATGTTAAAGTTTCTTCATGGAACCATTGTTGCCAATAAAGAACCTTTATTTTAAGAGCATATTCTGAATTTGGCACATTGTAGATTTAGTTTATCAGGAAAAATTCTCAAGGACTTGTGATTTGCATCATTGCACACAATAAATTGAAGTAATTTATTAGGAACAGCTGAAATGTTATTCTGTCTGCACAAAGACAACAGATGGTCCATACTTTCTCACTTTCTTCAAATTCCCTTCCCCCTATAACCAGACAAACAGATGTTCGTGCCTGACTTCCTGAACTACTATGTGCAAAATTATTCTGCTGATGAGAGCATGCAATCATATTTTATGGGGTTCAATGACCGAACCGTGCTACAGAATCTGTTAAAATCCTTAATATGCAAAGCACCCATATTTGAACATAAAGCTGTATCAATTCTGGCCCCATAGCAAAGCAAATATGGTAGCATCCTTTCGGTGATATTTTATTCCCAGCATGTCTTGTGTGTGACACATGCAATTAATTATTGGAAGTGAAATGGGAGAAATAAATAAGGACTGTCTAGCATCTCTGGTGGTTACTGTTGTTTGTTATCAAATATCCATTTTCATTTAGAAGAACAATGAGGTGTTCAATTGCTGTGTTATGTTTCCCCAATTCACACTGTCATCCATCCATATCTTTGATTTTCATCACATTGATTCAGATCCGCCTTTCTGATTAGAGTCATTCATCTAATTTTCAAGAGCAGCTTGTTCAAATCTCACATGTAAATGAATTCAATTGATTACCTTATATAGTAATAACCAAACATCTGGAGTTCGTCGTACAATTCCCTGCTCATGATACCAATCAGAGAAAAAGCAATCTTCCTTTACATGCAGCTTATTTTACAATAACATTCCCTGCAGTGCGTAATTTTCTTAACCAGTATTTTTGGCTTATTTATTTCTCAGTCTTTCCAGTCTGCATATATAATCTGTGGCCCAAAGAATGTAAAATGAATATTGTATAATAATAATAAAATAATAATGTTCAAAAATTATTATTATTATTATCCATTTTACGTTCTTTGACATATGGGCCACAGGAATTTGAATGTCCTCTGCTATAACAGGGGTCTCTGATGGTGAGTTCCTTCAGTCCGGGTCTGTTCACTGACTTTAAATCAGCACTTGTCTCATTAGTAACTGCAGCTGTCTGCTCATAGTTTGCTCAAACACAGGCTAAGAGCTGGAGCTAATGAGGTTCTGTAACACTGACAGACCTCTGTCTTCCTCCAGTCTCTCATCTGTAAAGAATACACTTCAGGTGAATCTCAACGATAGTAGAATCAGGTCTGAAGAAACTAATGTACAGCATGTGGCGTATGATTCACCTGTTCTGTAGCCAACTGATAGCCTGCACATCTGGTGCCAAAATGGGGCACAATTCTTTTTACATTATTGCACTAATCTCACACAGCAGACGCATAAAATCTGCTCCAAATTGCAGCTTATTCTAGCCAAGAACCGACAGACGAGAAGAGATCATCTGACAGACACACAAAGCGACCAACCATGCGTTATACGTGCATTTCAATATAGCGCCTGCCCTATAGCCCTATCCGACATTAAATTAAGCAATATGCTGTAGGCCAACTATGGCATCACCTCATGTCATCTAGTGAGAAACATTCATCATGGTATCATTTTTACGCTCAACTTTGTAATATTCCAGCTAATCAGTTGTTATTTATTTAGCAGTGTATCAGTTCATTTGGATCGGTAAAATAAAGCGATGTCCCTGATAAATTTTAAGTAGATTAGCCATTGAATAACTTTTAATTTGAGACTACTTCACACAAGAGATTGAACAGTAAAGGTCACCACTCCAGTATTAATGTTAAAGACTAAAGGTCATCTGTTATAGCTAAACAAATGCAATGATTCAATTTTGCTGCCCCAATTAATCTATTTGCATGTCTCACTTAAAACATATCAGCCTCACATATCCTGTAATTAGATTCAATCAATTGTTTTTAATAAACGTTCAATAAATGTTCAGCCTCCTGTGAGCTTTGTCTATATTGTGTGACATTATTTACTGATGGTACAAGGCTACACACACAGCAGTTAAGAATTGCTACTCAATAAGTGAATTACTACAATTACATGGCGAGCAGCAGGGAGAACGTCTCCTGTTCAACTGTCAAGTCAGATAAGTGAGAAGTAACAACGTTTGATTTCCAGCAGGGAGAGGTGGAATACCAAACTCATTCAATCACTGTCATCCAGAGATGGCTGCCTGATCATTCAAAGTCTTTTTCCAATTAAAGGGATAGTTCACTTTGAAATTAATTTTTGGTATGTTTTAGCTTACCTCAAGGGCATCCAAGATGTAGGTGTCTTTGTTTCCGCAGTAGTTTCAATTTTGATATTTTTAGGTCAAACCGTTCTTGTCTGTCAGTCATATAATGCAGGTCTATGGTCACCACCTCAAAGAGCATCTACAGAGAAGTCCAAATTTAAACATGATTTAATGACTCGTAAATGTAAGTACACATTGATGGCCTAAGACACGAAACGAGCAGTTTGTGTGAGAAAACGAACAGTATTTATATAGTTTTTACCTCTTGTAACCACAGCCACGTCCAAGTGATCTGAGGGCGCGGGCGCTTCGGTCTGTGCAAGCGCCGGAAAGCACCGGAAGTGATCTCTTGCGCGGTTGCGAAAAAAATTAAACGTTGTCTGTTGATATATCGAAATCGTCTTCCATTGCGATTTCCTGTATATCTAAATATGTTTAGATCTTCACAGTGAAAGGTAACACTTCCGAAATCTCTGTGTAAACAACGAGTGACGTACACGCGCGAGAGATCACTTCCGGCGCTTGCGCAGACCGAAGCGCCCGCGCCCTCAGATCACTTGGACGTGGCTGTGGTTACAAGAGGTAAAAACTATATAAATACTGTTCGTTTTCTCACACAAACCGCATGTTTCGTGTCTTAGGCCATCAATATGTACTTACATTTGCGAGTCATTAAATCATGTTTAATTTGGACTTCTCTGTGCATGCTCTTTGAGGTGGTGACCATAGACCTGCATTATATGACTGACAGACAAGAACGGTTTGACCTAAAAATATCAAAATTGAAACTACTGCGGAAACAAAGACACCTACATCTTGGATGCCCTTGAAGTAAGCTAAAACATACCAAAAATTAATTTCAAAGTGAACTATCCCTTTAATGCTGTAGAATTAAGTGAAACAGATTTTCTTTAAATGTTGATTTAAGCGTTGTGGTGTAAACTGTGATAAATGTTTTCATCCTCCTAAAATCATGTGTGCTTTATTAAATGAAATTAAAAAAATTATCTGCTCAAATATATCAAAGTTTTCTTCAGACGGAGCACATGAATTCACTGTCTTCCATTTTCAAAGCCGTTCTATATTTCATCTTTTGCTGTGGGCTCAAAGGTCACAGATTAGCTGTAATAGTGCTTCCACATCCTTCACTCTTCACTAAAGTGCCTGTTGAGCACTGAGACGCGGTGAGTTAGTACACACAGCAAAAGAGCAGAAGGATACTGGTGCAGAAAGGTTGCCTGAACATATGCTGAGTTGAAGATATCCTCCAGAGATCAATGGCCTCCAGGTTTACAGACAGTCTTCCTCTGTATTATGTCACAGTGAGGGCCTGAGTGTCACGGTAAATGCCATTCTGATGTTCCATTTCTCTTCACATGTCCGCTTTCTAAAAGGAATATGACACACTTTCCCTTTTAGTTGAATCAACTGAGCTGATCTAATAACAAAAAAGGTTACAGAGAGAACATAGCCAACAATAGAGACCATTACACTGCACAGACACATGCATTTATGTTTTGTTTATTTATTTTTGCATTAGTGTACACTTGTTCGGAGAAGGTTGACATTGTAAATAGTATACATGCATATTGCTTATTAGAAATGAAGACATGATGATGGGATATTGTTGTCGATAGAATTTTAAGTTAAGATAAATTGTATTCTACATAAAAACATTTTAAAGGGGTAGGATGAATAATTAATAACTTTGGGTGAACCATCCCTTTAACAAATGCAAATTAGAAATTTTGCATAGCCTGTTTCTTTCTATATTTTATTGAATCTGATACAAGTATCTGATATTAGTGCAATACAAAAGTATTGTTTATTGTTTGTATTAACTTAAAATATTAATTTTGGCCAGGTCTGGGTATAATCCTGCCTCCAACACGTTGGATGAGGTCCTGTGTGGCAGGACGATCAATGGGAGTTTAATCACAGGGTTTTTCATGAATGATACATCCAAAATAACCTGCAACAGAAAGAACAAGTTACATTGTTGTTGATTTCAAGAATCTGTAATTCAAGACTATGGGCCCTATCTTGCACCCGACGCAAATTTTGTACACTGACGCATGTATCATTCCTATTTTGCACCCGCGCAAAGCAGACTTTTCCCTCCACAGACGCACGTCGGTTAACTAAGAAATACACTTGCGCTCCCCGGGGCGGTTCAGCGCAAAGAGGAGGCGTGTTCCGGCGCAAACTTTCCCTCATGCTATTTTGCTGTTCTATAAAACAATTGCGCCACTGACCAGAAAAAAAGTAGTCTAAAGTCAGTAGCGCGTTGCGCGTTGTTCTTTATGCTATTTTAAGGGCGCGTCCTTGGCCATAATCAATGTAGCGTGTGCACAACGCGCATACACTTTGATTCTCTCATCTAAGTAGCAGTTTTCATTTTTGCAAATCATACATTATTACGATAGATAGATAGATAGATAGATAGATAGATAGATAGATAGATAGATAGATAGATAGATAGATAGATAGATAGATAGATAGATAGATAGATAGATAGATAGATAGATAGATAGATAGATAGATAGATAGATAGACAATTTATTATAAAAGCATGTAGCTTACACATTTACCCAAATTATACGCCTGTTTAACAGAAGTTAATTTGGGTGGGTTTCTCCATCCCCAATGTCACTTCTCTGTGTTTTACGGCCCTGACGTATGGCAAGCCATTTTAACATTTAACAGCTAGACTGGATATGTGTTGCAGATATCTGTAATTCAGTTTTGCCTAGTCAAAAAGAACATTTCAGATATCCGCAATTACATTCTTCCTATCCATAATTATCATTTCAGATATCCACAAAGACATTCTTCCTAGGACAAATGACATCACTTTTGCCATTCATTTGTATGGGGTTTGTCATTACAGATATCTACAATTCAGTTGCAGATATCCACTATGTGAATTACGGATATCTGCAACTGAATTGTAGATATCTGTAATTCTAGTTTAAGATATCTACAATTTGATTATGACTAGTACTAACTCCAATTCAAGATATCTTTAATTCACCTCAATTCAAGATATCTACATGTTCCTTTTCAGATATCTTAAATTAAGTTTGGACTAGGCGAAAGTATGTTGTAGATATCTGTTACTGGAATTATAACTAGTCAAAATGGCATTGTAGATATCTCAAACTGGAGTTAGGGATAGTCATAATTTAATTGTAGATATCTATTATCAAGTTATAGATATCTTAAAATGAATTTTGATTAGAGATATCTGAAATTTGAGATATCTGTAACTTTCATTCTGCCTAGTCAAAATGTAATTACAGATATCTTGAATTAGAGTTTTGACTAGGCGAAATGACGTTGCAGATATCTGTATGCAAATTAGGCTCGGCCGCATCCCACTTTAGGCGGGAGCAGAGCGTGTTGTTGTTCAAATCATCAAATCACATAGCACCTGTTAACTGTTCACTTTTAATTAGCACCATGTCGAGGGTGAAGGAGTTTTTAATCGTCTTTTTAATGCTGTTAGCTCATCATGGATTTTTACTGTGGGGAAAAAAAAAAAATCTGAGAACTGTTTTTTCTCATCTAAGGAAGTTCAATCAATCAAATGTTATTGCACTTCCATGGCAAGAATTGCATGCATGTAAGCATCTTCATTAAAGTGAATTAGTGTGAATCTCTCTCAAGCATAAATCTTTCGTCAACAATAATCTACTAATTTTAAGCATGGTGACAACATAGAAATGCATGGCAAACATTGCATGTTGCCAATATTTTTGAGAGACCCTGGCTAATGCAAATGAATACAATTTGTGTCATGCTGGAAACATGTAAACATTTTCTGGTGTTTTTTTATTGTTGTTTTTTTTTTTTCCGATTAAAGCCAATGCAGCTTTTTTCTTCTTCCAAATAAGGAAATTAACCCACTTCTTTTTTGATTATGGTGGGGAGGGGAAATTACATCATGCACAATAATTTGCACTAGTTATAATGACGTTTGAGATATCTTTAACTTTCATTCTGCCTAGGCAAAACTGAATTACAGATATCTGCAATTGTCATTTAAGATGTGTGACGAGTTGAATGTCGTTTTCAATGACGTCATTGCTGATATCTGTAATTCAGTTTTGCCTAGTCAAAACTGAATTACAGATATCTCTATCTGTCGTTTCGACTAGTCACAATTACGTTACAGATATCTTGAATGACAATTCCAACTATCCAAAATGTAATTACGACTAGTCAGAAAGACGTTGTTGATATCTACAATGTTAATTCCGGATAGTCAAACTTAGCTTTTAAATGCTAAAATGGCTTGCCATACTGACGAGAACGTTGCACTTGCTCTCCTCGGCTGTGAACCCCTCCTGGCGCGCGCCTGGCAAATCCGCCGTTATAATAGGAATCCGCTTTAGAACAAGCGCGCCTGCTCTTAAAGGGAATGTGAGATGACGCTCTGATTGGTTTATTTCACGTTACGCCCAAACCACACCTATGAATAATGAAGCTACTTCAGACCAACCCCTTTTTTGATTTGCGCCTGGTGCAAGAGGCATTTATCCCTCCGGGAAAATAGCAACAGCGCCGGGATCCGCCCACAAAGTTACTTGCGCTTTGCGCTTTGACACTTGCGTTTCAGACCGTTAAAATAGGGCCCTATTTCTTATTTGCAACATGTGTATTGTGTATTCAAACACATGACATTGAGTGACTTTGTCTTTTATTTCCATTCCTTAGTTCCATTAAAACACAAAAGAAGACTATCAAATAAAAAAATCAGCAAAATACCTGACCAAAGTAAATGAATAATTTTTGCTGCAGAAAAGAAAATTAGACCTTTTTGGAAACCTGGTCTTGTTTTCGGGTACCTACCTTCAGTCTATACTCTACTTTGAGGATTCTGCAGTTGTGGATGCTGGTGCTGATTTCTGGGGGAATGACTAATACTTTGGTCAGATTCTGTCTGGTGGAGGACACTAAAGGCTCTCCCTTCTCCTTCAGTATCTGTGTGGTGTGAACGGCTCTCTGGCCTCCAGCAAAGAAGCTCTGCTTCTGGTAGATGATGTACTTTGGCACAATTTTTCGAGTTGAGCTGTTGACAATCTCACCATCAAAAACTAGCCCTTCACCTGTTTGAGAAATAAACATTGCATTAGCTTGTCAAATGAATCAAAGCAATTATCTCTGTTTGATGGTTGTTGTTTTTTAGTTGATAGATCTATTAATTTACCAAAATGCATGTTATATTGCTTGGGTTACCTTGCTCGTAGCCTGTCTTTGGCAAGAAAATATTCATTGAAATATTTCCAGAGGCAAAAAAATGGACATTCTTGTCTTTACTACCATGCTGAGGTGCCTGCAGAGGATGAAAGGTTGTTAGGTTATTACTATCCATAAAGTAACAGCTAATCTGTTCATGTTAATCTCACCATTACAGTCAGAGTGACTTTTTTCTAAATTTCTCATTTCTAAATATGTTTCATGCATTAAATGAGCCTTTGAATATTATATCAGGCCTAAAAATAATGATTTTAATCATACCATCAGTGTTGACTGATCATAATCAGCTCTGGCAAGAAAGTTGAACTTTGTTTCAGTTTTGCTCACAGCACGCAAAGACCTGCTCAGCTTGGCCTGAAGTCGGTAGTGGATTTTACCATGAGCACCTTTGAAAGATGACGGCAGCCCCCTGAGAGTAGAGACATTTTCATGAATGACTAACAGTCTTCAGAGAGAAAAACTTGCATCATATGATAGATCAATATTTCAGCATATATGGATATAGCACATTAAAGTATTGACTACATTGCAAAACGTAACTGAGACTGTTTCAAAAGAAGATGGAGTTTCTCTCAGGAATCAATAAAATGTATATACTGTCGATTTGTCTATCAACCAGACCGTATGTCTGGTGACTTACTGGTAGGGAAGCTGAAAGGCAAAAGAGAAGACATGTCTACCGGCCACTAGAGTAACAGACCCTATAGCAAAAAAAGATACAGACACATATATATGTGTGTGTATATAGTGAAACAATGCTATTAAACATACAGTATATTTAACATTTAATACTTTAATTATACAGTCTTAATGTTGTTTCTACATTCATTTGGAGCTTCAATGTGAAAATATGTATTAAAATATAGAAATATATTACAAACTGTAATATTAGGTGCAATTAATAGTGATTCATTACAGAAAATGTGCAATTATTTGATTACTTTTTACACTACCAATCAAAATTTTGGATCGGTAAGATTTTTAAAGTAAAAAAAATATATATATATCTTCTGCTCACCAAGGCTGCATTTATTTAATTGAAAAAAACAGTATTATTGTGAAATATTATTACAATTTAAAACAGCTGTTTTCTATGTGAATATATAGTAAAGTGTAATTTATTCCTGTGATAAAAAGCTGAATTTTCTGCATCATTACTCCAGTCTTCAGTCACACGATTTGATGCTCAAGAAACATTTCTCATTATTATCAATGTTGAAAACAGTTATTTACATTTTTATTTCAGGATTAGGCCTATTTGATGAATAGAAAATTCAAAAGAAAAGTTTTTGTAACATAAAAGAGAACATATGATGCGATTTCTTGTTTTCCTTTTTCTTTAGTGTGTTTTAGCTGTTAGTGCAAGTATAAGATCTGCAGAGTTACAAAGCTCAAAGTGTCAAATATAAAGATATATTCTAGTTAAGGCTCAGCCACGCCTTCCTAAAACGCTTCGTTCAAACACGCCCCCTAAATCGACGTCAGTATGTGTGTGGGCAGAGTTTCATAACACCACCCAAATGTATACGCAAAGAAAGAAGGCGTAACTTTTTTTCTCGCTGTATAATTGTTGCGCCGGCGCCAACATGTCGTGGAGACGCTGTGTTTTTTCGTTGCGAAAGCCAAACTACTTTGTTTGGCCTTCCAAAAGAGGACACAATTATAAAACAGTGGTTAAGCTTTATTTACAACACTGTTCCAGAACAGTAACGTTAGCTACAAACCAAAAAAAAAAAAATCGCATTTTTCTGAGGACTGTTTCTAGAACCTGGGAGAGTACGTTACAAGGCCGTCTGTGCACAAAGGCTGATTCTAGAAAGTGGGGCAATTCCATCTTTGCATGTACATTTTGGTGCTTCTGACTCACGGACACAGCCTGTATGTTTTCATATTTTAAGAATTTGCTACTGACTAGGCTATTCAAACGCAAGTTTAGTATAACAGAATAGAGTAGCGCTTGCTTGTAGGTTCTACGATCACAAATTTAGACAGTTTTATGTTTAAACTTTATGTCCCATTATTGTTTTGGGAGCTGATGTTTCAAATATGGTAAGGGGCGTGACATTTCCGTCTCACGCTTAAGGTTTTTGGGCCAATTACAATGCACTGGATCGCTGGCCAATCAAAGCACACTGCGCTTTTCAGAACTATGAGCTTTGTAAAAAACGACTTGTTTCAAAAAGGCGGGGCATAGAGGAGCAACAATAATATACAGTATGTGTAAAATAATGACTTTTTTAACCTAAAACCCCTTTAAACACTACCGTTCAAAAGTTGTGGGGTTTATTTTTTGGGGGAAAGAAATAAAATAAATCAATATTATTTTTGTTACACAATATTCTATTTCAAATAAATGCTGTTCTTTTGCTCTTTCTTTTCATTAAATAATCCTGTTTTCAACATTGATCATATTAATGAATATTTTTTGAGCATCAAATCAGCATATTAGAATGATTTCTGAAGGACCATGTGACACTGAAGACTGGAGTAATGATGCTGAAAATTTAGCTTTGATCACAGGAATAAATTACATTTTAAAATAAATTAAAATAGAAAACAGTTATTTTAAATTGTCATAATATTTATCAATATTACTTTTTTTTGTTGGTATTTTTAATCAAATAAATGCAGCCTTGGCGAGTAGAAAAGACTTCTTTTAAAAACTTTTAAAATCTTACCAATCCAAAACTTTTGACTGTATAGCGTATATACATACTGTATAGCCTATTAGTGTTGTGTTAGTAAATATATGAAATATATGCACAACATATTATAAAATATATGTATAATATATGAAATATTATGTTATAGAAATAGTCAATTTTTGTCTCTTCAGTACAGTATACATCTACGCATAAAATGCAAAGATTGTTTTTCACAGATGAGTGTGTATAATAGCATATGCATCATCAGATATTACCATCTGCTTTGTCCTCCGGTAAGACAGATAAGATAGTTTGTGAGAAATACATCTCTTTATCCCAGTATGTCACATTATTTTCCCCTTGTGACTCAGTCCATGCCACATCAGCCTTGCCTTTTGCCATAACAGTGAGAGTTTTGATCTTGGTTTCCTTTGACACCTCCACAATAACTCTGCCTGCCAAAGTATCCCCGTTGCTGAATGTGTTGCGATCATTTAAGGCATCATACTCAATGGCGAAGTTCCGGATTGCCATCTCCAGGAAGAGCAGGTCAAGTCTAAAATGTAAGCGTATTTGTAGGATACCTGGAGTTGAAATAATCCCTTCTGTTTTCTTTATCCGTGTTTTGAAAATACACCTGTTGGCATCTCCCTTACGGAGGACTCACCAAACTGGCTCAGCGGGTTTCACCTCGGAAAGACACAGGCCTTACCTCAACAGGTCTAGCATGTAAGCTGAAAGTAAACCACACGATGAAATGGAAGAGCTGTATGTATTTCTATGGTGTCAGTGACCAAAGAGTCTATTGGGAAAATCTTTTTTTAGATGCATGTGAGAGAGAAAACATGAATACGGAAGAGCTTGTGAACGACGGTCCCTTTGCTCTCGCTGCACCTGCTCCACAAACCTGAGCTTTCATCAGTGCAGTTCATCATGGATGTGTGTTTTGTGATTGAAGAGAATTTTAATCACAATCACTGTCTATTGTTTTAGAATTACCTTTATTTATCTGAACATACTCTTTGTGTCAACAAAATGCAATGATGGATGTAGCAATTACAGTTGAATGGAAATATGTGGGATGAAATTTCTACAGGATTTTTAAATGCTGGATTATTTTTGGTGTAACTAATTTCTCTTTTCAAGCACATAATACAAATATGATGGCAATGAAATAAAGTTAATAATGAAGGGACGACTTTGAATGAGCCAATTAAAAGCTTTTCTTGGTCACTACATCCTGCTGTTATAAATCTTTTAAAAATATTTTTCTTAAAGCTGCAGTAGGGAGTTTTGAGAAAACGTTGACTTAGCCTGAAAATTTGAACAAGCACAACTTACAGGTCCCACCCCCTTGCTCTCTGCTGCGCTACAGCCCTCCCTCCACAGCTCGTCCTCCACAGCGGAGCCTGTCGTGAACGCGCAGGCTAGTAAACAGGGCCACCCATAACGGCGGATAAAAAGTTATATGGCACATTCACTAATAGGGACTAAACGTCAACAATATGCTTTACATTGACTATGGCCTGCCCATACTTTGACTACAAACTTGGTCCTCAAATCATTATGTATTTTGCAATAGCCTACATGTAACTTTATAACGTTGCACTCTTTCTATAAGTTATAAATAGCTAGTAAGATAACGTTAATACAACGGTAACTAACGTTACAGTATGTAACTTAATTATTCTAGCGATATATAATGCTAGATAAGGTGTGCTAGTACATTATTTCAGCAACATGACAAGCCAGTGAATTAGCAGGTTTCAATTGTTGCTTAGCAGAGTGCGTGACATTTTTATCTACATGTTATGCGGCTAGAGTTTTGACACCGTGTCAATGGGCTCTGTGTAATTCTTTCTTTTTCGCTTGTTTATCGTCATCGGTCTTTTTCCTTTTACCTCTTTGTTTTATGAGCAGGTGTCACTCGAGAATTGGCAGTTTAGGTTGTTTCTCCGTCATAAGCACAGCTGCAGCACGCCGGCAATCTTGAGTTTGAAGGACGGCTCGCGCTGTGCAAGAGAGGGGTGTGATCAGCGCGTACACAAGCGTGATTGACACTGCTCAGACATTCCTCCTGGCTCTGATTGGTTGTTTCTGACCGGGAGCGTGTATTTCTGCAAATGGCAATAGGACCACTGGGAGGAGCCAGAAGAGCTTGATTTTTTTTCACAGATTATCTGTCTCATATTCTACTGTCAGGACATAATGACAGTTTTAACAAATATGTAAAAAATATTTTTTACAAAAGTTACCTACAGCAGCTTTAATCTGTCTTTTTTTTCTGTGCCACGTTTTTTGCTCTGCATGTCTGCCCTTAGAAAAGCAATTTTTTCCCCTGAAGCATATATATATATATATGTATATGTAACCCTCATTTACTCTCTCACTGCATCACCAATGCAAAGAGCATACATCACATATAACATGCATATAACAGAAAACATACCTGATATACAAACAAATGTAATCAGCCTCTTAGTGTGAGAGTCGCCCTCATTTACTCTATAAAACAAATGTGATGTACCTTATCACGTGTGCTCTCATTTTACATTTAGACCCAGATGCAAAACTATCACTTAGTCGGGATGAAATGACAAAAATAACCACACAGATAGGTAAAATAATATTATATACATAGATTAGAGTGAAAATATAGACATAATAGCAACAATTCAAATTAAGATTAAATAATATTATCGGGAGCACAAAATAACTTCACCTCTCACTGCATCACCAATGCAAAGAGGAAGAGGAGGGGACAGAACAGGAAATTATATTGACTCATGACATCACATCAATTAAAGGGAAAGGTACTCACTTCACTTAGGCAGTCATATCAGGTACGTAAACGAACAATTTTGTGAGAATTCTAATAAACTTTACATACATTTAACAGTACACTTTATGTACCTGTTACATATATACTGTATATATATATAACATTAACATTTATATTATTTGTTTTACGATGTGTGCTTTAACCTTAACACCTTTAACCTTATTATTTATTATCCTCAGGTTAGGTAGAGTAAGTCAAATCTGACAAATCATAAGCATTCAAATGGTACTTAAAATTTGTTCAGAAGACTTCTCTGTGGTCAGTTCTTGCTCAAGGTTTATTAACAACAATACTGGTAGACAATTGCTTGCAATTAGTATAATAGTTATTTATCAAGGTTAATATTCCAGAAATAAAGGTTAAACCAAAAACTAATAGCAAAGTTACAATATAAAGCGAGGTCTAAATCAAAGGTGTAATCAGCTGTGTTTCTGGCGTCGAGAGATAGCGCTCGATCAGTATCAGCCTGGTCAGTCTTCTCATCAGTCTTTTATACTCAAACAGTTCACTGCCGATGTCAGACTCTCTTCTGCTGTCATCAATTGGAGAGCTGCCAAGTCTTCCATGACCCTTTTAAGGTGTTTCCGACGTAGCCTGCCAGCTCTCTTCTTGGCCCTTTTCCTCTTTGTCCTTCTCTTTCCCGTCTGTAAAATATACCTTAACAGCATTACATTTTTCTTAAAAGCAATTTTTATCTAATACATAAATGCTCTCTACTCTAAGTTACTTAATATAAACATCTGTATCTACTCCTTTTATATGGTTAAGTATACATGCATATTATCATAGTAATTGGTATTATTTTTTGTATATAATTTTCCAATACATTTTTATGCAGCATTACTTGGGTTACATAAAGATACTACTAAGCAAAACAGACGTTAAACAAGACAGAGTAATTGCATAATCATCATCTTCATCAACATCTTATATATTGTTGCTAATATTTTCTTAAAAAAACATACTTTAAAAAAGGATACGCCAAATATGATTGCTTTCATGATGTGTTTAATAGCTAACAATAGGAATGTGTGCCCATGCCATCTGACTAATGTATGTAAAGGAACCTGTCTTATGTTCCACGATGCTAATATCAGTGTTATAGTCTGAAGATGCAAGACGGGCGATATTTGATTCTATAGATTTTCTGAAAATAGCCGAACACACTTATTGTCTGTAACATGATTCTAAGCTGATAGTCATGGGTTTTCAAGGACAGTCACTAGACTTGTTCAATAAATGATTCACATCCAGCATTTCATTAAATACAAATTAGAATTAGTAGCTGAATGACCTGATCCCTAATTGTTTTCAAGTTGTTAATAAACATTTATTTAAGCATGATGATTTGTTGAGATATATATGGTTTGAATCAAAATGATTGGATGTTTTTAGCCTCTGTAATGAGTTAATGAGATAACAAAGGAATTCATGTCATAATGTCAACATATCAGGCAATACGTTTTTAATTGCTTTAATATAATAGTTATCTAAACACTTCTCCAGCAAGCAGTTAGCCTTTATTTAATCGTAATCCCACGTGACTGATGCTGTGCTTACTGTTCTCATAGAACGGACCGAAGGTTTTCAGACTATGGTTTTCTAATTACGGACTGCAGTCTAATCTTCAATGGCCTCCAGTAGGGCATAAAATAAAGAGCAATGACACAAATGAGAGCCAGGAAAGGATTTATTTTTTTCACTCTTATCTAACTCAGTTGGGTCAGCAAGCATGAATGAAGTAAAAGTGTGCTGTTCTAGTTGAGGCTCCAATAATTTATTCAGGCTTAAGCTTGAATAAACATCATACATCAGAGCTGATTCAATGATGCTGAAAGCTAAATGTTCTGCAAAGATACTTTTTAAAGATACACTCTAAAGTCCAAACTCTCTCTAGGTAAAGGAGTACTTTTTAACAAATTTTGGCCTACAGTTTTTCAAATGAGTGTTGAAGATAAAATCTTTATAAAAAAAAAGATGCCCCCTTGGCCATTATGCCTCTGAGATTGTCAAACAAGCATTGTGTAAAATTATGAGCTAACAGAGCTGTTATGGGCCAGGCTGCAGAGCTGATCGATAGTACAGTGCAGTATTTATGGAGAAGACATCAGGCTTAAAAGGCCCAGGCAGACAGAAACAGAGGTGCAGGGAGACCAGTAATCAAGCAGATCTATAAATTGCTATGAGGTATAAAGCATAAAAGGAGAAAATTAAATAAATTTAACCCCTGAAAGATGTACTGAGTCAGTGTACACAGAAAAACAATTGTAAAATTTGTACCTTGGGTACAACAGCTTGTCACTGGGCAGGCCATAAAAAATAACATCTCTGTACCTTTTTTTTTTTTTTACCACTAAAAGGTTCACAGCAGTACCTTGAAGTACGTATTTGTACTCCAATGTACTAATATGCACCTTTGAGGAATAAAAAAAGATACAAAGATGTATTTTTAAGGCTATCTGCCCCAGTGACAAGCTATACCACTAAAGGTAAAAAAAATAAAATAAATTGTACACCTTTTTCCCCCTGTGTATAGGCTATGTGTGTTGTATTCTTTTTATATTTTGTATTTCTTGCAACAGACGGGCATGTTTTTTTTCCTGTTATGCTTCATTTATGAAATAGAGACATTTATTAAGATGCAGATTATTTTACTCTATACACTGCATTGATTTGCTTTCTGATAGCAAGCAAAAGGCATGGTTGTACATTTTCTTAAAGTTTACCTTAAAAAATAAATTGTTCCAATAAATGTTTTGGTTTGTGTCTCTTTGACTTGTTATACTTTTATTTTGTAAATGCTTTTATACAGTTTCTCTGTTAATGATTTGTCCACTGAGTTTACAGAGATACACAGTGCCCT